CGGGATCACAATAGAGGGTCCTGGACAGAGCTGGAAAAAGATGTAGAACAAAATTCTAACTCACAAAAAAAGACCAGATTTACTGGCCTGACAGACTGGAGAAACCCCGAGAGTATGGCCCCCGGGCACCCTTTTAGCTCAGTGGTGAAGCCCCTCCCGAAGTTCACCATTCAGCCAGAGATTGGACAGCCTCAGAAAACAAAACAGGACTAATGAGGCACAGCAGTCCAGGGACAAGGACTAAATGGCAGGAGGGGACAGGAAAGCTGGTGATAGGGAACCCAAGTTTGAGAAGGGACGGTGTTGACAGGTCGTGGGGTGGTTAACCATTGTCATAGGGCAAAATGTGTACTAACTGTTTAGTAACAAACTATTTGTTCCGCCAACCTTCATCTAACGTACCAAAAAATAAAAGAATTGTCTCTGTGAGATCAAACTGACAACAGCAACTCAAAAGGTTTGATGGGAAACCTCACGGGCAGTGAGTTGAAGATAATGGTGATGGAATAATTGGAAAAGGATAGTGAGAATAGCAGCACAACTGGAAGAATGTAATCGATGTTACTGAATTTTACATGTACAAACTTTCAAAATGGTGTAACTTTGGCTACGTATATTTTAACCAAAAACAAAGATCCTCAAGGTCGAGAATGAAAAATGTGTTGACATGTCATGGGGTTGTTAACCAATGTCATAAAACAATATGTGTACTGACTGTTTAATGAGAAACTATTTGTTCTGTAAACCTTTATCTAAAGTACAGTAAAAAAAATTAAAAACAAGGAAGAAAAAGAATTCTCAGGTTTGTTCTATTAAGGATATATAGCCATCTTCCACTAAACATTAGGAATCTCTTTCTGAAAAGGGTGAAACTGCTAACTGGGAACCTATTTACCATTATTTCAATTAGAAAAAATTATAATAGCTTATAAAATAATCCAGAACTCCTACCTAATTTCCTAAAATGCAAACAGCTATTATAAATACTTCGCGTGATAGGAAATAATATACTTTGCTTCCTGATGATCAAATAATAAGGCTGCAAACAAAGAGTTGCTCCGTGTGCAGTAACATTCTCTACTGGGAACAGCAACATCTTAGATCCACAAACCCTCTGCTGACAGAACATCTTCAAGTGATTCTAACATTCTACTAATTCTATCTAAAATGTACCAAGACTTTTTCTACATAGCGTTTTGTTTAAAATGCTAAACCGAGTTTTTCAGACATAAATGTAGTTAAAAAACAAAACAAAACAAAAAAGCTATAATTAAAGATATAAGCATTCATAAAGCTTGGGCAACAAGAAAAAGAGGTGACCTATTGTGAAAATCCACCACACATCTGGCAGTTTGTTGTACTGTGACGGCTCGCGTGTTGCTGAGACGCTGGAAGCTATACTACGGGTATTTCAAATACCAGCAGGTCACCCATAGTGGACAGGTTTCAGTAGAGCTTCCAGACTAAGACAGACTAGGAAGAAGGACATGGTGATCTATTTCTAAAAAAAACTGGCCAGTGAAAACGCTATGAAGAGCCGCAGAACATTGTCTGCTATAGTGCCCAAAGAAGGAGCAAAGCTTTTGAGACCTTCATTTCTTGATGTGGCATGACTCAAAATGAGAATAGCTGCAAATATCCATTAATAATCATAACATGGAATGTACAAACTATGAACCTAGGAAAATTGGAAGTCATCAAAAATGAAATGCAACCCATAAAGATGAATATCTTAGGCATTAGTGAGCTGAAATGGACCAGTATTGGCCATTTTAAATGAATCACAGTAGTCGTATGTTCAACTATGCCAGGAATGACATGAGAGGAACGGTGTTGCATTCACTGTCAAAAAAAAAAAAATTTTTCAAGACCTATCCTGAAGTATAACGCTGTCAGTGACAGGACAATATCCATACACCTACAAGGAACATCAGTTAATATGACTATTATTCAAATTTACAAACCAACCACTAATGCCAAAGATGAAGAAATTGAGGATTTTTACCAATTTCTGAAATTGATCAAACATGCAGTCAAGGTGTATTGATAATTATTGGTAATTAGAATGTGAAGGTTGGAAACAAAGAAGGATTAGTAGTTGGAAAACACGGCTTTGGTGATAGAAATGACCCTAGAAATAGCATGACAGAATTTTGCAAGACCAATCACTTATTCATTGCAAATACCTTTTTTCAGTAACATAAACAGTGACTACACACATGAATCTGGCCGGATGGAATACACAGGAATCAAATAGACTACATCAGTGAAAATACACGATAGGAAAGCTCAGTATCGTGAGTCAGAAGAAGGCTGGGGCCAACTGTGGAACAGAACATCAACTGTTCATCTGGAAGTTCAAGATGAAGCTGAAGAAAATTAGAACAAGGCCACAAGAGCCAATGTACAACCTTAAGTACATTTCACCTTAATTCAGAGACCATCTCAAGAACAGACCTGATGCACTGAACGATAATGACTGAAGACCAGATCAGTTGTGGGATGATATATCATACATGAAGAAGCAAAAGGTCATGTAAAAGACCGAAAAGACCAAAATGGATGCAGAGGACAACATGCTCCTGAACACAGAGTAGCTCAAGTGAAAGTTACAAATGATCATACAAAAGAGCTGAACAAAAGATTTCAAAGTGAAGCTAAAGAAGACAAAGTATTATAATGAAATGTGCAAAGATCTGGAGTTAGAAAACCAAAAGGCAAAAACACGCTCAGCAATTCTCAAGCTGAAAGAACTGAAGAAAAAATTCAAGCTTTGAATTGCAATACTGAAGAATTCTATGGGCAAAATATTGAACAATGCAGGAAACATCAAAAGAAGATGGAAGGAATGCACGGAGTCAATGTACATAAAAGGATTCGTCGACGTTCAACCATTCCTGGAGCCAGCATATGATCAAGAACTGATGGTACTGAAGGAAGAAGTCCAAGTTGCACTGAAGGCACTGGGTAAAAACAAGGCTCCAGGAGTTGACGGAATAGCAACTGAGATGTTTCAACAAAGAGATGCAATGCTGGAAGCACTTACTCGTCTATACAAAGAAATCTGGAAGACTGCTAACTGGCCAGCCGAATGGAAGAGATCTATGTTTGTGCCCATTCCAAAGAAAGGTGAACCAACAGAATGCAAAAATTACCAAACAATATCATTAATATCAAGTAAAATTTTGCCGAAGATAATTCAAATATAGTTGCAGCAGCACATCAAAAGGGAACAGCCAGAAATTCAAGCCTGATTTAGAAGTGGATGTGGAACAAGGAGTATCACTGCTGATGTCAGATGGATCGTGGCTGACAGTAGAGAATACCAGAAAGATGTTAACTATGTTTATGGACTATGCAAAGGCATTCGACTGTGTAGATCATAACAAATTATGGACAACATTGGAAGAATAGGAATTCAGAACACTTAATTGTTCTCCTGTGGAACCTGAACACAGACCAAGAGGCAGTCATTTGAACAGAAGACGGGAATACTGAATGATTTAAAATCAGAAAAGGTGTGAGTCAGAGTTTCATCTTTCACCATAATTATTTAATCTGTATGCTAAGCAAATAACCTGAGAAGCTAAACTATATGAAGAACAGGGCATCAGGACTGGAGGAAGACTCATTAGCAACCTGCAATATGCAGGTGAAATAACCTTGCTTACTGAAAGTGAAGACATCTTGAAGCACTTACTGATGAAGATCAAAGACTGCAGCCTTCATTACGGATTACATCTCAACATAAAGAAAACAAAAATCTTACAATTGGATCAATAAGCAACAACATGATCAACAGAAAAAAGACTGAAGTTGTAAAGGATTTCATTTTACCTGGACCCATAATCAACGCCCGTGGAGGCAGCAGTCAATAAATCAAATGACTCATTGCACAGGGCAAATCTGCTGTAAAAGACCTCTTTAAAGGGTTGAAGATCAAAGATGTCACTTTAGGGACTAAGGTTCGCCTGACCCAAGCCATGGTATTTTCAACTGCCTCATATACATGTGAAAGCTGGACAATGAATAAGGAAAACAGAAAAAGAACTGATGCCTTTAAATAATGGTGTTAGCAAACAGTATTGAATATACTGTGGACTGCCAGAGGAAGGAACAAACCTGTCTTGGAAGATGTACAGCCAGAATGTTCCTTAGAAGCAAGGATGGCGAGACTGTCTCATGTACTTTGGACATGTTATCAGGAGGGACGAGTCCCTGGAGAAGGACATCATGCTTGGTAAAGCAGAGGGTCAGTGGAAACAAGAAAGACCCTCAAAGAGATGGACTGACACAGTGGCTCCAATAATAGGCCCAAGCATAATAACGACTGTGAGGATGGTGCAGGACCGGGCAGTGTTTCATTCTGTTGTACACAGGGTTTCTATGAGTCGGAATCGACTCCGTGGCATCTAACAATAACAATTCTATAATTTAAACAGAATTTTTGGCCTAGTTTGGGAGATTAACCACCAACTTAATACATTTTTCCTTATGGGAAATGTATACAAAGGTCTAACCAACCCATTAATAAATGAATGTTTGAAGCGTAATCTGCTTCTAATAGAGACCAAACCTGTAAACCAGTTGCCGCCGAGTCGATTCAGACTCATAGTGATCCTACAGGATAGAGCAGAACTGCCCACAGGGTTTCCAAGGAGTGGCTGGTGGATTCAAATTGCAGACCTTCTGGTTAGAACAGTGTTCTTTACCACTGTACCACCAGGGCTCCAATTAGAGAACATAAGACCAGTAAAATGCAGTTAGTCATTAACTGAATTATTTGTTCTGTCCTTTATTACAATAAAAAATCTGTTCTATTATCCTATATAATAACGTCACACAATTAGGCAAAACAAAAAAAGACCCACACACAAGATTTAAATCTCCAATATGGTTTTCTATCAACAATTTGCAATTAAAGTTAGAACATCTTACCTTTAAAATCATCTCTAGGGCCTTCTTTCTTGTTCATTTTTATGTCACTGCAGGAGTTGTTATGGGCACCTTTTGAGTTGTTCTCAAGGTAAGCCGAGCTTGCTCCTTTCTTGGAGGGATGAGGATCACAGAGTTTTGCATTAATCTTATAAAGCTCGAGGGCTTTAATAGCTGCTGCATTGTTATCCATACGAAGAAAAGTTGGACAGGAAGCACAAAACTCATTCGTGCAGACCTCATTTCCACAGCCCTCAGTTAACTGGTGGTAGTAGCGTTCTATTAGATGCTTTGCAGCTGCTCGCTTCCTGTACCAAACATTCAGACAATAAGCACAGTGACTGATTAGCATAGCTCTCAAGTAAAAAGCTCAACAGATCATCAGCAAAGCAAAGTCAGTCAAGCATTGAAGCGATAAACTTGCATATTAAGATGAGATGTAGAAAATGGAGATCCGCTATTTGACCACAATTTTTGACTAATGAAATACTTGATAGGTATTTCCTAAGATACGATGATAAAATATGTCAATGCTTATCAAAATCATTTTGTTTTAATATGGTTTCATTTCATTTATAAAAAGGTAAAAAGCTTATTAGATAGCAGTATATGCTTAAATTGTTTAGCACAACAGCTAAAAATCATATGGTATATATATGGCTTTCTAAGAGAGTTTTATTATTTTACCAGTTTAAAAATAAGCATTAAGAAAATGAGAGTGCATCTGAAATATCAATCCAGCTGTTGTTTCCTTTTATATACCTGTTGCCATCAACTCGATTCTGACTCATAGTGACCCTACAGGACAGAGGAGAACTGCCCTATAAGGTTTCCAAGGAGAGCAGCTGGTAGACTCGAACTGCTGACCTTTTTGTTAGCAGCTGAGCTCTTAACCACTGCACCACCAGGACAACGGCTTATAAATGCTTGATTTGCCATCAGTGCAGAAACTTTATTTAGAACAAGAATTTATTTTTTTCCATCTACCATATGGGGACATTTAAAAATAAATTTACAAGTGAAATATTCAAAACTAGTGTTATACTGTAAATGTAAAAGACGTGGGTCCAAAGCATACAATCTTGAACCCAAAACCTCCTCAGTAATTCACTGTCACAGAAACATGGAATATTATAAAGGGCAGAATCCTTATATTGCATTTACTTTGTACACTTAAAGTACATAAAATAATTATCACTGCTCCAGCAGAGCTCCCAGGGTACAGAGGAAGGAATTATTTCATCAAGTAAGAAGATGAACTACATTAACTCTATGGGCTCTTCAACTCTAAGATGCAATGCCTCTACTATCTGATAATATGAGATTACAATAATCGAAGTAGAGTACTCTACTGGATCTAATGAAACGTAATTCATAACTATTCCCTTTGGTCCCAAATTCACAAGCATTGGAATAAAAACTAAAAGAATCAAAACAGTAAGAAAAAATAACTCACTTAATTTAATTCTCAAAATGTTCCTATAACTGGAATCTTACAAACAGACAGGATTAAGCAGCAAATGGCATTGCAATGGTAATCATGAGAAACCCAACAATTAACAAGAAGACAAAAAGGGGATAAGAGACACAAAGTCTAATTAGGTTTCAAAAGCAGAACCTTGTCTCTAAAATATCAAGATAAGTGACAAAGAATGATAATCCAAATACATTCAATTCATTCTGGTGCTTCAATTTTTCAAATGTCTCATGCAAATTTACAACTCACTGCATGCACATAGAGAAAAAAGAAAAATCCACAAAACACACTTAAAAATTGCATGACATGACTTAAGAGATAATATTTGGCTGTAAGTAGCTATAAAGAATTCCTCTTCTGAAAATGAAAAATTATTATTCCAGCTATATCACTATGCAAAATGTTAAAGTGACACCAACAAACCAAACCCACTACCATCCAGTGGATTCCAACTCATAGTGACCCTATGGGACAGAGAACTGCCCCACAGCGTTTCCAACAAGCAGCTGGTGGATTCGAACTGTTGACCTTTTTTGGTTAGCAGACAAGCTCTTAATCACTGTGCCACCAGGGAGCCATCAAAGTGACAACATGTGAAGAAAAGAGAAATGTAGAATCTAGAAAATTTATAACATATATTGCTATTCTTCAGAAACCCTGGTGGTGTAATGGTTAAGAGCTACAGCTAATAACCAAAAGGTCGACAGTTTGAACCCACCAGGTGCTCCTTGGAAACTCTATGGGGCAGTTCTACTCTGTCCTATAGGATTGCTATGAGTTGGAATCAACTTGATGGCAACAAGTTTGGTTTTTTTGGTTTTTATTGCTATTCTTCAGCAAAGAATGGGAGATTAATGCCATCCTCTCTCAAATTACAGCAGCTTTACGGGTACATCCTTTCTGTAGGGAAATTATGAACATGTATCAAAAGTCTTAACAATATGGGTATCACATGAATCATCAATTCCACTTGTAGGAAATAACTGGACAATTTTGCAAAAATACAGTGTTTCTCTGAAATCTGGAACAATCTCACATGCCGAACAACAGGGGAGTGTTTAAATGGACTGATAACAGTTCAGGCAATGGAATACTTAATTACAAAGATCTGAATTTGGCAAGGAACGGTCTTCCTGATATATTACTGACAAATGTCAGTTACTAAGTAGTAGGTGTAGGATGAACTCACTTTTGTTCCCAAGTGTTAATAGTCATTATCTCTGGGTGACGTGATTAAATGACTTTTAAAAATTCTTCTATCCTTTTTGCTTCTAATTTATTTTTCTATCATAAACATGCTACTTATGTATTAAAAATGAACAAATATGAATGGGGAAATGTTAGAGGAGTTTTAAAACTTCATTTCAGGATTTGAATGGTCTCAGGTTTATTTATTATATTGCCCATGTGATTTTTTTAAAGACTAATAATCAAAGTAAAAATACCACATAAAAAATAACGTCAGTATTTTCACTAAAATAACCCAAAAACCCACGTCATATACACAAATACTTATGTAGAGAATGCATACAGAAGGAATGTGAACAGTAAAAACAGTACAAGACTGGGAGTCTGAACAGCTGAACTGTCACTTTCTTCTGCCTCTTAAGAAGCGGTACGATCCTGAGCAAATCATTTAATTCTCTGGGCCTCAGTTTCCCCATTTTATTCCTTTCAGTTCTAAATTTTAGGTTATTCTGTGTAAGAGGGAGGTGAGCAAGGAACTAGCACTTGTTGAATGCCTGATAACATACTAAACACTTTACCAGGAACTTTGACATAGGTTATTTCATTTAAATTGCATGACCTTGAGTGTTATTTTTAGTCCACAGCTAAAGGAGGAGACAGAACTGAGGCAGTCAAGTCAGGTACTGTGGTGTGATGGATCGCTTTTGTGTGGTCTTTCTTGCCATGGTCTTGTAACTCCCACCCAGTGACTGGGTAGGACTGTGCAAATGAGGTAATTGTGGCCCATCAAATGGATTGGTCAGTTCTGTCATTCTGCTAGGCTTAAAATGAGCCATCCCAGAGGTGGGAAAGATGATCTTACCACCACCAAGGAAGAAGGGCCAAGAGCAGAGCATGTCCTTTGGACCCAGGAGAATGAAAAAGAAAGAGCTGTAACAATGAACATGGTGAGAAGCGGTGGCAGAGTGACTGCAGGAGGAGAGACTGGCAGGAGACGGCTCAGTGGGCTTCCCAGCCCACAGAGTAAAAAAGCTGAGTGTCTCTGGACAGCAGGCTTGCTGGAGGAGTAGGGTGCCTCCAGACACTTGGTGGAGCTGGGTTTGCTGACCCATGGAGCTAGAGCTGAGCACCTTTTGGCTGAAGCTTACTGGCTGAGTAGGGGAGAGCTAAAAGAGCTTTCTAACACCTGCCCAAGTAGGGCACAGGCCGAGAGACCAGAGAGAAGCATGCCTGTGGGCACAGCTGAGAAGAGGGTGTCTTGATGGAAGAACCATATGCTGAGTGTTCCTGAACCTGAGCTGTAACCTGTTACTTCCCTAATAAACTCCATAACTGTCAGTACGGTCTGTGAGTTCTATGTGGCCATGGCAATTAATTATCTAATCCAGCAGAGAAGTAGAGAGTGCCACAGGAGCGACAGTTGGTGTCAGACTTGGTAAAGATAGCAGAGAGAGGAGGCATGTCTGACCTCTGCCTCACAGAAATCCACCTTGGGCTATTGATCTTGATTCTCCTTCCCCCTTGTAAAGTTAGAGGGGGTCAGATGCTGCTGTCACACCATTCTTACAAGTACCCAAGTGTTATGGATTGGATTGTGTTTCCCCAAAATGTATATCAACTTGGCTAGGCCAGGATTCCCAGTATTGTGGTGTTGTCCACCATTTTGTGATCTGATGTGATTATCCTATATGTTGTAAATCCTAACCTCTATTACGTTAATGAGGCAGGATTAAAGGCACTCATATTAATAAGGCAGGACTCAATCTATGGATTACGTTGTATCTTCAGTCAATCTCTTCTGAGATACAAAAGATAGAAGCAAGTAGAGAGGAGAAGGACCACCAAGAAAGAAGTGCCAGGACTGAAGCCTGCTTTTGGACCCAGAGTCCTTGCACTGAGAAGCTCCTAGACCAGGGGAAGATTGATAACAAGGACCTTCTCCTAGAGCCGACAGACAGAGAAACCCTTCCCTTGGAGCTGGCGCTGTGAATTTTGACTTCTAGCCTCCTAGACTGTGAGATAATAAATTTGTTTGCTAAAGCCATTCACTTGTGGTATTTCTGTTATAGCAGTACTAGATAACTAAGACACCAAGATCATACATAGTAAAATGCAGAACCAGGATCAGAACAGAAGTCCAGGAGTCTTCCGGCTCCAGAGTCTATGTTGTTCCAGTATACTGTCTTACAAAAAGTGATTCATTTAAAAATAACTTAATTCTTAAAATTAGTAGTACTGAAATCTTTTAAGGAAAAGGTGCCATAAATAATGTGTCACTGAAAAAAGTAAAAAAACCTTATGAAAAATCGTAATTTGAATCACATATTTATGCATGATACCTAGTGTCACAGATACACTAAGTTTCTTGAAGAACAGGTACCATTATTGTTATGGATTGAACTGTGTTCCCAAAAAATCTGTTGTAAATCCTAACTTCTATACCTGTGGTTATAATCCCATCTGGGAATGGGCTTCCTTTGTTCTGTTAAGAGGCCATATCAGTGTAACCCATTGTTTTCAAGTCGATTCCAATTCATAGTGACCCTACAGGACAGAGTAGAACTGCTCCATAGGGCTTCCAAGAAGCGCCTGATGGATTCGAACTGCAGAACTTTTGGTTAACAGCTGAGCTCTTAACCACTC